TTAGGGATGGACTGGTTATCACCTTATCACGCTATCTTGGATTGGCATGCCAAGACTGTGACCTTAGCCTTGCCGGGTTTACCTCGTTTAGAGTAGAGAGGGACTCATGTTCATTCTATCCGTAGTGTTATCTCTTATATGAAGGCTCGGCGTATGGTCGAGAAGGGGTGTTTGACCTATTTGGCCTATGTCCATGATTCTAGTGCTGAGGTTCCTTCTATTGATTCTGTGCCCGTTGTTCGTCAATTTCCTGAGGTATTCCCTTCAGACCTACCGGGTATGCCACCCGACAGAGATATTGGCTTTTGCATTGATTTGGCTCCGGGCACTCAGCCCATTTCTATCCCGTTGTATCGTATGGCCCTACCTGAGTTGAAAGAGTTGAAGGAGCAGTTGCAAGACTTGCTTGAAAAAGGTTTCATTAGACCTAGTGTTCCACCTTGGGGTACGCCGGTGTTGTTTGTTAAGAAGAAGGACGAATTGATGAGAATGTGCATTGATTACCGGCAGTTGAACAAGGTTACAATCAAGAATAAGTATCCATTGCCGAGGATTGATGATTTGTTTGATCAGCTTCAGGGTGCCAAGGTATTCTCGAAGATTGACTTGAGATCTAGCTACCATCAGTTGAGTATTAGGGCATCTGATGTCCCTAAGACAGCTTTTCGCACTCGATAGGGCATTATGAGTTCTTGGTAATGTCATTCGGGTTGACAAATGCCCCAGCAGCTTTCATGGATTTGATGAACCGAGTGTTCAAGCCTTACTTGTATTTGTTTCTAGATAGTCTTCATTGCTGATATTTTGATCTATTCCTGTAGTCGGGAGGAGCACGAGCAACATCTTAGAGTGGTTCTTCAGACTTTGAGGGATAGTCAATTGTATGCTAAGTTTTCGAAGTGTGAGTTCTGGCTGAGTTCAGTTGCATTCATGGGTCATATTGTATCAGCAGAGGGTATTCAGGATCCTAAGAAGATTGAGGCAGTCAAAAACTGGCCTAGACCAGCATCAGCAATAGAGATTCAGAGTTTCTTGGGATTGAGTGGCTACTATCGTCGATTCGTGGAGGGGTTTTCATCTATCGCAGCCCCGATGACCAGGTTGACCCAGAAGGGTGCCCAGTTTAGATGGTCGGACGAGTGTAAGGTGAGCTTTCAGAAGCTCAAGACAACTCTGACTACGGCACTGGTGTTAGTTTTGCCCACAGGTTCAGGGCCTTATACAGTTTATTGTGATGCATCTCGCATTGGACATGGTGCGATGTTGATGCAGGATGGCAAGGTCATTGCCTATGCTTCGTGGCAGTTGAAGATTCATGAGAAGAACTATCTAGTTCAAGATTTGGAGTTAGAAGCCATTGTTCACGCGTTGAAGATTTGGAGGCATTATCTGTATGGCGTGCTATGTAAGGTGTTCACGGATCACAAGAGTCTGCAGTATTTGTTCAAGCAAAAGGAGTTGAATTTGAGGCAGAGAAGGTGGTTGGAGTTGTTGAAAGACTATGATATCACCATCTTATATCATCCGGGAAAGGCCAATGTAGTGGTCGATGCTTTGAATAGGAAGTCAGCTAGTATGGGCAGTCTTGCTTATATTCCGGTCGTTGAGAGACTTCTTGCTTTGGATCTTTAGACTTTGGCCAATCAGTTTGTGAGGTTGGATGTTTCTGAGCCCAGCCGTATGTTAGCTTGCACAGTCGCTCGTTCTTCATTACTGGAGCGTATCTGAGATCGGCAGTATGATGATTATCATTTGTGTGTCCTTAGAGACATGGTGCAGCACGGAGGTGCTAAGCAGGTTACCTTAGGTGATGATGGAGTTTTGAGTTTGCAGGGTCTAGTTTGTGTGCCTAATGTGGATGGACTCTGAGAGTTAATTTTAGAGGAGGCCCATAGCTCCCGGTACTCTATTCATCCAGGCGCCGCGAAGATGTATTAGGATTTGCGGCAGCATTATTGGTGGAGAAGAATGAAGAAGGACATCGTTGCATATGTGGCTCGGTGTTTGAATTGTCAGCAGGTTAAGTATGAGCATCAGGGGCCTGGTGGTTTGTTCCAGAAGATTGAGATTCCTGAGTGGAAGTGGGAGCGGATCACTATGGACTTCATTGTTGGACTCCCACGGACTCAGAGGAAGTTCGACGCAGTGTGAGCTATTGTTGATAGGCTGACCAAGTCAACACATTTAATTCCTGTGGCAGTCTCCTATTCTTCCGAGAGGTTAGCTGAGATCTATATCTGGGAGATTGTTCGTCTTCATGGTGTGCCCGAGTCTATCATTTCGGATCGAGGTACGCAGTTTATCTCCCATTTATGGAGAGCAGTTCAGCGAGAGCTAGGCACACGGGTTGAGTTGAGCACAACATTTCATTCTTAGACAGATGGGCAGTCTGAGCAGACTATTCAGATTTTGGAGGATATGCTCCAAGCTTGTGTCATTGACTTTGGAGGCTCGTGGGATCAGTTCTTGCCTTTAACAGAGTTTGCCTACAACAACAGCTACCAGTCGAGTATTCAGATGGCTCCTTATGAGGCTTTATATGGTAGGTGGTGTCGGTCTCCGGTTGGATGGTTTGAGCCGGGGGAGGCTCGGTTGTTGGGTACAGATCTAGTATAGGATACCTTGGACAAGGACAGGATCATTCAGGATAGGCTTCGTACAACTCAGTCCAGGAAAAAGAGTTATGCCGACCGCAAGGTTCGAGATTTGGCATTCATGGTTGGTGAGCGGGTATTGCTTCGAGTGTCGCCTATGAAGGGAGAGATGAGATTTGGGAAGAAGCGCAAGCTTAGCCCTAGGTTCATTGGCCCATTTGAGATTCTTGATCGAGTGGGAGAGGTGGCTTATAAACTTGCGTTGCCGCCGAGCTTATCAGCCATGCATCAAGTGTTTCATGTGTCCATGCTTCGGAAATATCACAGTGATCCATCCCACGTGTTAGATTTCAGCACTGTCTAGTTGGACAAGGACTTATCTTATGAGGAGGAGCCGGTAGCTATTCTAGACCAGCAGGTTCATCAGTTGAGATCGAAGAGTTTCCCTTCTGTTCGTTTTTAGTGGAGAGGTCAGCCTGCTGAGGCATCGACCTGGGAGTTCGAGTCCGATATGCGGATCCATTATCCCCATCTTTTCCTCGACCCAGGTACTTCCTTCTTCTGTCCGTTTGAGGACGAACGGTTGTTTTAGAGGTGGAGGATGTGATGACCTTTTTTAAAAAAGTGAATTCTTCATTCTGAGGCGTTAAAAACATCTTTCGGCATCACCTCGATTTGCGTGCACAGTCCGGGCGCATAGCCGAAAAGACATTTTTGTGAAAATCTATGAAAAATGATAAATTTTGGCTATAAATTGAATTAAGTTGACTTCGGTTAACATTTTGGGTAAAAGAACCCGGACCCGTGATTTGACGGTCCCGAAGGGTTCGTAGGAAAATATAGGACTTCGGCGTATGCCCGGAATCAAATTCCGAGGTCTCAAGCCCGAGAAATGAATTTTTAAAGAAAATTATTTTCTGAAATTATTTATGAGATTTGGAAATGAATTGTGATTAGAACTTGATAGTATTGAGCCCGTATTTTGGTTCCGACGCCCGGTACAAGTCTTATATGTGATTTAAGATAAGATTGTGAAATTTGGTAAGAAACAGACTTGAAATGACGTGAATCGGATCGTTTTTGAAAAAATTGGAAATTTGAAGTTCTTAAGAAAATTTCATGATTTTGATGCTAAATTCATAGTTGTTGAAGTTATTTTAGTGATTTGAATGCACGAGCGATTCCGTATGATATTTTTAGGGTGGTGTGCATATTTGGTTTGGAGCCTCGAGGGCTCGGGTGAGTTTTGGATAGGCCACAGGGTGGATTTTGGACTTGAGGAATTGCGAATTTTTAGTTGTTGCATTGCAGGCCTGCAGGCTTCGCATATGCGAAGCCTGGCTCGCAAATGCGAGATCGCAATTGCGAGAAACATGTCACAAATGCGAAAGAAACCCAGGCCATCCCATCCTCGCAATTGCGAGAATTCCATCGCAAATGCGATGCCTTCCTTCCTAGCCAGTAGTCGCAAATGCGACCCTACCTTCGCAATTCCCAACTCGCATTTGCGAGAGGCTGTTCGCAATTCCCAACTTAGCAGAGGTTGGGGTTCACAATTGCGAACCCAGTTCGCATTTTCGATACCTGCGACCTACAACTTTTATACTTAGCCGAAAATCAACCATTTTTCACTTCTTTTCAAAACACAAACTCCCTAGGGCGATTTTTCAAGAACAACTATTCTTCCAAATCGATTGTAAGTCAATTTTAACTCGTTTTCTTCAATCATTAACATCTTTTCACATTATTTCAACTCAAAATCAATAATTTTCATGGGAGAAATTGGGTGTTTTGGGTAGAACTTAGGTTTTTCAAAAAATGGGGATTTGACCTCGATTTGAGGTCCGTTTTCAAAACAAATTATATATTTGGGTTCGTGGGAAAATGGGCAATCAATTTTTGGTTCGAACCTCGGGCTTTGACCATGTGAGCCCGGGGGTGATTTTTGACTTTTTGGGTAAAACTTTGGAAAACTCATTTTCATGCATTGTGGTTGATTCATTTAGCGTTTATTAATATAATTAAGTAACTTGTGGCTAGATACGAGCGAATTGGTGGTGGAATCAAGGGGTAAAGCAATAATTGAGACGTGAATTGTGTTCATCACATCGAGGTAAGTGTTTGGTCCAACCTTAGCTTGAGGAATTAGGAGTTGAGTCCTACTTGCTATGTGGTATTTGTCGAGATGCAAATGACTTATCCCAGTCACCATATATAAACAATTTCAAATGCACGATTGCGCCCGAGATATGCTTTTCTTTTGGTAATAGTACACCCATATTCCTGGTGGACGGATATAATACACTCTTTGATCTTGTACCTAATGGACGCTTCAATGTGTGGAATCAATTGAAGAGAAATCAAGTCAACATTCAAATTGAAGTGATTCTCATTGAATGTGTCCATTTCACAATTGTGGGTGCCAATATATTTACCCACTTTTCACAACCCTATTTTCTTCTTGCTCGCACGCAGCATCCAATGACAACCCATAATTCATCTACGACAAACAACTTTGTATACATCCGGACTTGACTCTCATACCATCATCTCACAGCACTCTTTTACGGTGTACATTTTCGCCGCCCTGCTTAGGCGCGCTTTATTAGGAAAAAACATGCCTTTTGCCCGCACCGTTGGTCTGGATTCATCCCACATTGCTGTCCGAATTTCATCAAAATCCCTTGTGAGGGAATTCACATCCGGAATACTTGACAAATGATCAAGGTAGGGAATATGCCTTGAATGAAACGACACGTGGGACGTGTACACTCTTGGTATAACGGGAGGTGGATCATGCTTCCTCATCAAATCAGGTTCGGCATTCTCTTCCTCCTCATCATCACCCTTGTCATAATTACTATTATCTTCCTGACTCTGCGCATCTGCCAAATCCCGAGTAAATACGTCGTTTATGGGCAACTGAGTGAGGACATGACCATCAAGTTTCTCGTTTTCACTGCACAAATAACAAAATAATAAGCTGCTCAAATTGATAAATACTTTACATTTAGCTATATCACTTCACTTACAAGTCGTAATGTGTTGACATTCTATGATAGACATTATCTTGTTGGTGATGACTCTCGGATGGACCACCATGATCCAACACACCAAAATTACGCATATTCCAACTGGGCATGGGTTCATAACTTGTAAAATTCATATCTGGACGGTACCCCCTGTGGAATATATGAGTGTTAATTCAATACAACAAAAATAAACATCGTAATACAAAGGAAAATTAAAGTTTACCCGTCGTCTTGTGGATTATGTAAAGTAGGAGAGAAATTATTTCCTTGCTCCTCATTCTCCCGTGGAGATAAGTTTAGATCCGGCCAAACTCTTTCAGGCGGAACCTGTTCGGCTAAAACTGCTCCAGAATAACCACCCGTTGATAGAGGGTTATCCCTGCTTTGCGCAACCTCATTATTGCGAACGTCTTCAACCTTCACGTACATTTCCAATATTTTTATCAAAATAAGTTTCCGGTATTCATCCGAAGTCCCCAAAAAATCTCTTAGAGTTTCATCATCCTCGATATTAAACTCAGCGTAAGAAGCAATCCCTTGCGGAGTCACAGAATACGGATATCTTTCAGTTATTTTAAGATTCACCGAACATTTGCCTAGCCTCATTTTATTATATAACAACGATACAAGTCTATCGTACTCCATTATAAGTGGCAACTTAACATGACTCTGTGGAGATAAACTGTAGCTCACAGAGTTATTCGCCACCACAACCTCACCCCCGCAATATAATGAAACCCTTACTTTTCGCTCTTCAGACATTATGAAAAAATGCTTGAGAATTTAACAAGAAGAAATTTTTTAACAGGAGTTAGGAATTCTTTTGAATGGTTTTTTGTAAAATCCTTAACGCCTTTAAATAAGGCAATGCCTAGCTCGGGAGGGGTGGAGGTGAATTTTTTGAGGTATAGCGCTCTTTTAAAACGTGTCTTACATATTTGAATTATTGTTATGTCAGTTAAGCGCAAGAGACTTATTGGTGGGCCCACATAACAGGTATATCGCTCTTTAAAAAAGCGTTTTATATAAAACGCTCTTTTAAAGAGTGTTATGCCTTAATGTCCCAAATGGATGTTAAAGTATAGCGCTCTTTAAAAGAGCATTTTATATAGATATGTAACTATTTTTTTTAAACATTTTACGGTGTCTTGTGTCCAAAAGAAACACAAATAGGTTCACCGTATTAATGCTAATATTGTGATGTGTTAATGAACTATAATACCAATGGTGAACTCACTTCCTTTCTCACCCGTCTTCCAAACGATATATCAAAGCAAATAATCAACTCATTTCTTTCCCCCACGTCCATTTTTTAGAATGATAACCATAAAGATGCAAACATAAATAAATTGAAAATTCCACTTCATAATTTCCAAGCCCTTTGGCCATAACCTAGAACTAGCTTACATAAACTTGATTATTAAGATGATTGAAGTTTTTGTTCGAGGACTAAACATATATTATAGAGGCAGTTTGGACATTGGACCCTTACTCAACTTCATAAAATTGTTTATGTATTTATTCACTAATATTTACGGTTGAAACAAAGACAAACTTTTAAGGTTCTATGCATGTAAACCGAGAAAATGATCAAAATGGTCCTTAATGTATCAGGGTTGCTTTATTTTGGTCCTTGATATAGTTCCCTTGACAGATTTGGTCTGAAACCCTAAGAGCCCTTTTGGGCATAAGAATTTTTTTTACTTTTTTTTGAATTTTTTTTACTCTTTTTCGAAATCACCGTTTAGTCATAAAAATTTTAATTTTCACTTGAAGATGCATTTTGAAATTTTTTAATAATTTGAAAAATTCCAAAAAGTTATTTTTCAAAATTTGCACTCACAAAACTTCAAAAACAACTCAAAATTATATTCATCTCCAAACAATTTTTTTTTTTTGGAAATTTTACAATTCTTATGTCCAAACACTCACTAAGAGGGTGTTTGGCTAAGCTTATAAGCTGGTCAAACTAGCTTATAAGCACTTTTCGGCTTATCTACGCGTTTGGTAAAGTTAAAAGTGCTTATAAGTCAAGTGATTATAAGTCAAAAATAATCCAAAAGCCATAAGCTGGTCACCCACAGCTTATGAATTTTTAGATTATAAGCATTTAAGTTTGACCAAAATTTTTACTATTTTATCCTTAAAATATTCTTTTTTAGAATAAAACTCCTACATCGATACTCACTGCCTCAAGTATTCAACCTAAACCTCCCCTCTCCTCCCCTTCCCCCACCTATTCAAGTCTGCAATTTTCATTGACAAGCTAGGATAAGCAAATTTTCTATTCATTTGCATACTTATATCTATGTGATTGTGCATTAATCTTTGAAGTGTATATAATAAATAAGGACATATCAAATTGTTGGTGTATTGTTTTCTAAGTGTTGTGGTGAAGAAAACAATGTTTGTTTCTCTTCAAATAATTTGTTCTATTTAGGTTTATTTTTTACTGAGAAAATTTTGTCAATTTATTAATTATTATAACTTATGATTATATGCTTATCATAAAATAAATTATATTTATCATAAAAATTATCTTATCTAAGCACAGTTGTATTTAAAATAAAATGATAAATAGAATATTTTGTATTTGAGTCGATCTGGAATCTAAAATTTTGAAGAAATTACGCCCTTATAAGTGTAAACCGTTCTGAGATTATTTAAGTTATTTTAACAGAAAAAGAGCTTATCAGCACTTTTTTATCAAATACTGCAACAACTTATTATCAATTTCAGTACTTGTACCCAAACATGTAACTGCTTATTTGTTAAATCAGTTTTAGCACTTAAAAGTAATTTTCAGCACATAATGCTAACCTGAAAAAGTTTCTCCCCGATAAGAATGGAGATTTAATTTGAACGTGATCTGAGCAAAACAGAAATTCCTTCAGCTGAAGAGATAAAGGAAGAAAGAAAAGGAGTTAGACTTAGAACCATTCAAGAAGACCCGTGTTTAGCTTTTTTTTTATAATTCTTGGTTCTGTGAGAAAATTTCTTTTTCTTGTTTGCAAGTGTACAATGGTGAAATACACATCTGTAATTTAATATAGTTTGTACTCAAAGATAGAAACGGTAAAAAAAATAGAAAGAAACAGTAAAAGAGAACAAAGAAAATTGAATATGACCTGAGATTGATATTGTATTAAAAATTTGTAACTTGTTTAAAAAGCAAATTGAAAGCGAGAAAACAGAGTAGACCTCCAAGTTAATGTCATCTGGAAGATATTTAAGTATATTCGTGTATTCTATACGAATATTTTAGGACAAAAGTAGTCATTTGGTAAAAATGGAAGAGAAGAATATTTTAAACATCCACTCAATTTTGATGATCTAGTACTTGAACATGCAAATTATATTAGAGTAACAAGATTGAAAAGAGCCTACAAAAAGGTCCCCACATAAACACATATGATAAGGCAAAACATTTTTCCCGCTTCGTCTACAATTAGTAATAGATCACTTCTTCTTAGCATCTCCGGCCTTGGTCTGCAAATTTCATGGAACAATACCGTTAGCTTGAGAAGAATGAAAACAACAACATAACCAGTAAAATCCCACTTGTGGAGTCTGGGGAGAGTAGAGTGTACGCAGACCTTACCCCTACCCCGAAAAGGGTAGAGAGGCTGTTTCACGGAGACTCTCGGCTCAACAAGTTGAGAAGAATGAAAACATGAACCGAAAACAATGGAGCAATTATCTCCTGGTCATAGCAGCAAAGACCATAAGAGATAACAATCTTTACCTTCTTGACACCACGAACTTTCTTGGCTCTGTTCTTGCGCTCCTTCATTTGCTTCCTGGACTTCTCCACCTTGGTGTCTAATCCATTCTGCGCAAGTTGTTCAATGGTGAAAATTGTTAGCAATGGTTACAGACTGATCCAATCATGAAGAAGCTTCAAAATATAGTACTCAATATTCAGTAAAATGATCCTGGATTGTGCTAGTACTTCGTCACATAGAAGGATATATTTATCACTTGGGGAGAACTAGAGATGAGTAATGTTAACTTAACAGGCCCTTCATTAACTTGTTGGCTACTTTGCCTGAGGAATAGTTTCTCGAAAGAATATAAAAAGTGAAAGAATTTCTCCTGTCTACATGAAAGGTTCAGAATACAACTTCATGAAAATGCTGAAAGCAGCTCACAACACGATACAGTTTTTTTTGGGGATAAATTTAACTCGACAAGATACACTTCCAATAAAGAACACTTTTAAATGCAAATTGGAACCAAAAACTACTGAATAAAGAAGATAGGGATAGAGGTAGAGTTAGAGGAAAGAGATCAAAATAATTCAAAGCATGTGATTGTAGTCAGAATAGCTTTATACTACATTGCTCAAACAAATGCAATCCTACAGGCTGTAATTGGTTTTGGATAGCAGATGAGCAAAAGTTACAATAATAGACATCTCATGAATATAATTATGGTGAAAATATAAGACTGACAAAATATAAGACGATAAACTTCTGCAAAGTTAGAAACTGTACGTGCTCACTTCCAATGGTGATTCTATAACATCATCCACAGTTATTAGGATAGGGTAAGGCATACACGAGAACAAAATTATCTGGTAAAAAATACTAAGACTCTTGAATGGGCATAAAACATGCAATGAACCTTGACTACCACATTCTATTCTCCCAACTTCACCAGTTGCAGCACTTACGGTTTTGCGTGAACAAGCAACCCTATGCAATCTACTAAAATAGATTATAATTGGACACACCTAAAACCTTATGGAAAACAAACTTAAAGTCTATGAAACACAAAAAACGTTTCCCTTTGAGTTTTTTAAAATCTTAATATCTATGTTCATGAGTTGAAAATAATAGAGTATGTGCTAATTCTAGAGCTTACATTCACCAAAAAAGACAATCCTGCTCATACATTACAAGGAAAAAAGAAAAACAATGCACAGGTTTTGGAAGCACATACTAGCACGCATGTATAAATAATATGATGCTTACCCTGATCAACCTGTACTTGGGCTCATACTTCTTTGCGTTTTCAACAGAGTCATAGATCAAACCAAATCCAGTAGATTTGCCTCCTCCAAAGTGGGTCCTGAACTTGAACACGAAGATGGCA